AAAATTAAAAAAAATTAAAATAAATAATGAAAATAAAATAAAAAATAATGAAAAATAAATTAAAAAAACGTTTTTTCCTTGCCTCAGGCGCAAAACGTCGGCCACACGAGCACCGCGAGAGGACAGGACGCCGGGACCTGTAGGGCGCACTGGAATGTAAGCCGGCCGACTCCCTGCGTTCAGGTGCGGGAGGGGGTGTGGAGCTGTATTGAAGTCAATGTCATTGCTCACATTGCGATCGCCCGCACTCGGAACACAGGCACATTAGTGCCTGCATTCCGGTCCAGTGCGATCTGCAAAAATAGTGCTTGCAGATCGCACTGGACTGAAACACAGGCACTAATGCAGGCGATCGCACTGTGGGCGAGGGGCCTGCCTGTGGAGCCTGGCTGCGGTGCCATTGACTTCAATGCACCGCCACGCCCCCTCCCGCCCCTGAATGCAGGTGATTTTTCGTTGGTAGATCTCAATGAGCTCGTCATTTGAAAAGTAGATCTCCAGACGAAAAATAGTGGGCGCCCCTGGTCTAGATTAATGGGTAGACCTGGATAGGTTGGGGTAAATCAGTAAGTTTTAACATTTGTGTTATTTTGTACTTTGAATGGTTATGTTTACGTTCTTATTTGATATAAAAGATTCACTATTTTAAAATGACGTTTTCCTAGGCACCGATAGTAGCATATAAGCTCCTGTAAAGAAGTCAAATCCATGCTTTATTAATTTTATGCAAAATGTAGGGGACAGTTATTTAGCCAGTGTTAATACACCCCCAGGTACCATTAGTAAAGAAGGAACGCTTAAATGTTTTGGCAGCTTTAGAAAATTATAGCAGTTGATTACTGGAAAGGAAAAGAGATTTTTAATGACATAAATGTAGAACTATAAAATCACATATCATTCAAATATGTGAAGCGGCGCTATCACCCAACAAGTAAACAAATAACATGTGCAATAACCAAATATTATAGTGAACAATACTATTGTGAGAAAAAAATAAAAATTAAAAAATATATATATACAGTATATAAATGATTCAAATATTTTCTAAATTAAATCTTCTAGTCAACTGTTTGTGTGAATCACAAGGATGATAGTCTAAAAAAAACTCCAAATGACTACTAAAGTAGCAAACGTCCTGTGTCAGTGTGTGAAACCCATAATTGAAACAAAGTGTTCATGAATTCATTAAACGAAGGCAGCTCTCTCAAAAAAAAGAAAAAAAAAAGTGTTGTCTTGGTCTTTCTTTGTACGTCACTCTGCCCACTCTTGTAATTTCTTGTGTATTTTTTGTTGAAGTGCTCATAAAAAAAACAGTGCTCTGATAAATAGGCCTCTCACCTCCGTGTTCAGACCCTTGGGTCTCAAAGCGCTTCTTATAGGGTAAAACTCCTTCCTCACACTATTTGAAGCTGTCATCTTCCTTCCTTCAGATGAGACCAATCCTGATCTTAACGTCTTTCTCCTCTACCGACAGCCCAACTTCATCTCAAAAAGATCTCTCAAAGACAGAAGTGGAAATCATAGCACACCCCGTATGCATAAAATGATTTTATTAAAAAAATATACACTCGCATAAAAACGAATAAAATCGCGTATCAGAATCACATTCCTGGATGTCAGATCTGTCCTCCTCTTTCTCTCCAGGCATTCTGACATCACTGACTCAGCTTTTACACGTTACGTCTAATTGACTTCATCAGGAAGCAGATAATTTATACAATCACATAGCTGCCCATACCAGTTAGAAAGGGCTGTTTTTCTAATTCCCCTCTGGAATGTTTTTCGTAAATACCTGTTGATGCTGGCAGTGGAACCCTTGGATAGGCACTTTATTTGATAAGATGACTACACTCTTCCTGAAATCCCTGCAGTGTGGTCATCTTGCTGCTGCTGTAGCTACTCAGATGTAGGCACCCTTAAAGGCCCTATCAGTAAATCGCCATGTCTAGCTCTACCCACAGCCCTTTAGTGCACATTGCTCTATCTGCAGGAACTTGGGGACATTTAGGA